GCAAGTAGGTTGTCAGGCTTTGTTTTCCTGAAGAAATAAATTGAGATGGGGGAAGGAAACAGGACATGACACAGACGAGCTCCACCTGTGCTCCCTTCAGGCACTGCAGAGATAAACCCTCCACTTTACCATCCAGCTTCCAAGATTTTAGACATGCCAAGACATCAGTTCTGGGCTGGGAGGCCTGTTTTGATGGGATCTAGCAAGTTTTGAAGTCTGCGGAGGGGAAGCTAGCAACAGCTTTCTTTTGAGATGCAATGAGGGAGAAGAGGCTACAGAGGAGCGCTGCTCCAGAGCCCTCAACGTTTCTGGAAACCATCTTGATTCTGACAGGGATCAGTGTCAAAACCAAATAACCCAAATGCTTGCCTGCAGTTTCTCTCAATGCACAGGGCTATAAAAGCCTGCAAACCTACAAGGAGTTATAGTTACACAGCAGCCCAGTTACAGCTATCCAGACAGATATTAACACTTGTACACCTCTTTATAAATACAGCGTTCTACATGAAGAACTATAGAAAGATGTTGTTCAAGGCTGGGGATTTTTACAAAAGCTTGTGAGGGCTTTTGTTCACATCTCTGCCTTTTTTCTGCCACTTGGAAACACTTGTTCTTTCTCCTTCTTCATCTCCCACCCAGTCCTAAGTGACTCGGTTAGTCGGCAGATCCAACATCTTTGCTTTGCCATTCAAAGCAGTGGGAAGGAGGCCATGTGAAGAAGGAGGTCACAACTTTCAAGAGTGAAAAGCTAATGTGTGAGGCAGGTTCAGCTGTCAACAGAGTCCCAGGGGAAGTGGGTAGTCATACCTCATCCCTGGAGAACGGCTCACTGAGAGGTGACTGGGAAGGCAGAGCATCCTTGTTCTGGGCATCGCTGTGGATCTTGCCCTGCTGATGGGATTTCCAGGAGTGTGTTCTGTCCCAGTCTGTTGACACAGTCTCCTTGTCCCAGACTGTAGAGGTCTCTGTGTCACTGAGGTAGCCTGGCTGCCCCGTGGAGTGCATAGGGTAAACAAGGAGGGGTTCTGCTGAAAAGGCTTTCAAGTCTCTGGACTCATTGTACTCCGTGCACTTTGCTCTAAAGAGGAGAGAAAAATCACTCCAGTAACAGAGTGAACGTTCACCAGTGCCACTGCTTATAACTGAGAGATACAAGCCAACCCACCTAGCAAACAGATCCCAGGGAGTGGAGGAAGTTGCTGGGTAGAGTTCTAGTAGAGAGTTCTGACCCTCTACAGCCAGAACCTCCCGTCTTACAACCACACACAACCTATACAACGAACTCCTCCATTACCAGAGACAGCCAAATGTCTCGGGACCGGTGCCTGCTTGGTTCAGGGCCTGTGAACAATAACCCCTCTGCAGCAGGTCTGTCACCTCCTTTGACCTGTGTCAGGAGCTCTGCTCTAGAGAGCCAAAAAGCATGAGTAGCCCTGTCTCCCACCAACCAGGCTACAGAAGTGAGACACACCAACACGATCTGGCTTAAGGACATTAACAAGATCCAGCTCACATCAACATAAGCAACAAAGACTTACTACTTACACAGGGTGCTTGTTGTACATAACTGGCAGAAATTCATCTACAGGCAGCATCTTGCTGAAAGGCTCAGCTCTGATGAGTTTCTGAGCCCCTTGTAAAGAGATTGCGTACCCCAGGGCCCAATATGAGTAATTATCTTCCACCAAATTCATGACACTGGGAACGGCTTTCTCAGGCTCTTGCACCCACACCCTTTTCCGGCCAATGTAGCTTAAGGGGTAAAAAAAAAAACAAGGAAACTGGAACCAAAGTGAATCTGAAGCAACTAAGACCACAAGACTATTCATGTCAACCAAGGAAGGGCAACAGAGCAATCCAAGAAGTAATCCCTGACCAGGCTCACAGATTTCTATCCTGCGCCACTCTCAGACATCCAAGCCTTAGGCTACTGAGGGTAAAACTGTGAAAGACTTCATACGGGAGAAAAGATGACATGGCCCAAACCTCAGGACTGAGCTAACACCACCATTTCCAGCCTGCCCCAGAAGGCAGATCTGTCCTGACGGCAAGAGCCACTGAGAAGTCTCTGCCGCCTTCTCCTGCACTCTAGCATTAACCTGCACCTCCACCATGACACAGCAGCTGCTGCTGACCTCCCCTGTGTGCCCAAGAGTTCCCAGGTGGCTGCGGAACAGTTACTTACATAAGCTCCCAGTCTAGCGGGGCTTGTTGAATGTTCACCTTCACATTGAACATCACAGCTTCATAAGCTTCCTCTTACTGTTGGAATGGAAGGTTACAGGCTCTTTAGGAAAGACAGGCCTGGCAGGCGGGGAGGGGGAGTTGCCCTTTATGTTAGGGATAGGCTGGAGAGTATGGAACTCTGTCTGGGGACAGGTGAGCAGTCAACAGAGAGTTTGTGAGTCAGGGTTAAAGGGAAAACAGCTATGGGGGACATTACTGTAGGGATCTGTTACAGACTGCCTGATCAAGGAGAACCTGTGGATGAAGCACTCCATAGACAGATAGGAAAAGCCTCACGCTCACAGGCCATTGTTCTCATGGGTGACTTCAACCACCCTGACATCTGTTGGAAGGATGGTACGGTCCGGCACAAGCAATCCAGGAGGTTCCTCGATTCTGTGGAAGACAACTTCCTTCTGCAAGTAATAGAGGAGCCGACAAGGAGAGGTGCTACGCTTGACCTCATGCTCACCAACAGGGAAGGGCTCGTTGGAAATGTGACTCTCCAGGGCAGCCTTGGATGCAGCAATCATGAGATGCTCGAATTTGAGATCCTCAGGACAGTGAGAAGAGCGTGCAGCAAGCTCACTGCCCTGGACTTCAAGAGAGCAGACTTTGGCCTCTTCAGCAACTTGTTTAGTAAGGTTCCCTGGGGTGTAGCCCTAGAGGGCAGGGGGGCCCAAGACTGTTGGTTGATATTCAAGGATCACCTGCTACAAGCTCAGAAGTGTTGCATCCCAACTAGAAGGAAGTGCAGCAGGAGGGCCAGGAGACCTCCTTGGATGGATAAGGAGCTGCTGAGGAAAATTCAAGGGATAAAAAAGGCTTATAAAAGGCAGAAGCAAGGACAGGCAGCCTGGGAAGTATACAGGGATGTTGTGCAGGAAGCTAGGGACCAGGTTAGGAAAGCTAAGGCCCAGTTAGAATTAAACTTAGCTAGGGATATTAAGGATAACAGGAAGGGATTCTACAGGTAGGTAGCAAATAAAAAACAGAGTAGGGACAACGTAGGCCCCCTCAGGAAGCTCTCAGTAGAACTGGCTACACGGGATTTGGAGAAGGCTGAGGTTCTGAATGACTTCTTTGCCTTGGTCTTCACTGGCAAAGGCTCTGACCGCACCACCCAAGTCTTGAAAGGCAGATGCAGGGACAGTGAGAATGAAGATCTTGGGCCCACTGTAGGGGAGGATCTGGTTCGAGACCATCTTAAAAATCTGAACGTGCCCAAGTCCATGGGACCTGATGAGATCCATCTGCGGGTCCTGAAGGAGCTGGCGAATAAAGTTGCTAAGCCGCTGGCCATCACATTTGAGAAATCACGACAGTCAGGTGAAGTTCCCAATGACTGGAAAAAGGGAAATATAACCCCCATTTTCAAGAAGGGGAAAATGGATGAGCCAGGGAATTACAGACCAGTCAGTCTCACCTCTGTGCCTGGCAAACTCTTGGAGCAGATTCTCCTGGAAGGCATGCTACGGCACATGAAAACCAACAAGGTGCTTGGTGACAGCCAGCATGGCTTCACTGAGGGGAAATCCTGCCTGACCAATTTGGTGGCCTTCTATGATGGAGCTACAGAACTGATGGACAGGGGTAGAGCTGTTGATGTCATCTACTTGGACTTTGCAAAGCATTCGACACTGTCCCACACAACATCCTTGTCTCTAAATTGGAGAGACATCAATCTGATGGATGGACCACTCGGTGGATAAAGAACTGCCTGGATGGCTGCACGCAAAGAGTTGTGGTCAATGTCTCAATGTCCAGCTGGAGACCAGTAATGAGTGGTGTCCCTCAGAGATCAGTGTTGGGACCGGTCTTGTTTAACATCTTTGTCACTGGCATGGACAGTGGGATTGAGTGCGCCCTCAGCAAGATTGCCGATGACACCAAGCTGTGTGGTTCGGTTGATATGCTGGAGGGAAGGAATGCCATCCAGAGGGACCTTGACACGCTTGTGAGGTGGGCTGATGACAACCTCATGAAGTTTAACCATGCCAAGTGCAAGGTCCTACACCTGGGTCGGGGCAATCCCAGGCACAGCTACAGGTTGGGCAGAGAAGAGATTCAGAGCAGCCCTGTGGAGAAGGACTTGGGGGTGCTGGTCGATGAGAAAATGAACATGGGCCAGCTGCAGTGTGCGCTTGCATCCCAGAAAGCCAACCGTATCCTGGGCTGCATCAAAAGGAACTTGACCAGCAGGTCAAAGGTGATCCTGCCCCTCTATCCTGCTCTTGTGAGACCTCACCTGGAGTATTGTGTGCAGTTCTGGTGTCCTCAACATAAAAAGGACATGGAACTGTTGGAACAAGTCCAGAGAAGGGCCACGATGATGATCAGGGGACTGGAGAACCTCCCATATGAAGATAGGCTGAGAAAGTTGGAGCTGTTCAGCCTGGAGAAGAGAAGGCTGCGTGGAGACCTCATAGCAGCCTTCCAGTATCTGAAGGGGACCTATAGGGATGCTGGGGAGGGACAATTCTTTAGAGACTGTAGTGAGAGGATAAGGGGTAACAGGTTAAAACTTAAGCAGGGGAAGTTTATGTTGGATATAAGAAGGAAATTCTTTCCTGTTAGGGTGGGGAGGCACTGGAATGGGTTGCCCAGGGAGGTTGTGAATGCTCCATCCCTGGCAGTGTTCAAGACCAGGTTGGACGAGGCCTTGGGTGATATGGTTTAGTGTGAGGTGTCCCTGCCCACGGCAGGGGGGTCGGAACTAGATGATCTTAAGATCCTTTCCAACCCTAACTATTCTATGATTCTATGATTCTAAACTAGTGCTCAAAGCGCATATTGTCCTCAATAACAAGCATCTTCCCCAGTTCTCTGTTCACCACCTGAAACAAAAGGTTCAGAAGCGATCACAGTGGCACATCCCCACCTGAAGCTGCACCATCTAGAAGCCAAGAGCTACCATCTTGTACGAGCACAGCAACCACCTCCTCAAAGGAACATGCAGCAGCCTTTGATACTAAAGCTGCTGTTCAGGAAACACTCCTTCTTAGGAGAAAGTGTTTGTGAAGTCTGTGAAGGAGGACAATCTAGCATATCCAGAGTCTGGCCCTGACAACTTGAAGAACACATGCGCGAAGACACCCTGTATGTTGGTTCCCACATTGCCATCTGATATCTGCATTGCCCAACTTCTCAGCACTGAAGTCACTCCTGCTGGCTCTAGGCTCCTTGGAGCAGTGCCCCCCCTGCTGAGAAGTGCTGCAGCTACCACCACCCAGGGCAGAGGGCTGTCTTCATCTGAGTAACCACTGCCATTGCCCAGTCTTCTTTCAGTACCAAGTCTTTCTCCCTGTCTCCGCCACACTGTACATGAAATAATCCCTCCCGTTTATGTCGGCCTGTGTAACTGCAGCATCTACGGCCAGCACAGCCCAGATCCTCTCAAGCGTCGCTCCCAGGTGACCAGGGACAGACAGAAGCTTTTACCACCCAAACAAGATCTCTTAGCTCAGGTAACAGAGGTGCCTGCTATTAAGCATCTTCATGACATGCCAACTCAAAAAAGCCAGTCAGCAGACTTGGCTGGAACTTGCTTCAGCCCACATGCAGAACAAGAGATTAAAAAAGGAAGTTTTTGAAACACCATTTGTTCTTCAAAACCTTCTTGCCTTTCTCCTAAACAAACTTGCTCCAAGCAGGCTACTGGATAGTTTGCAAACAGTCATGGAAATACTCTGATAGACATCATTTGTCTCTGTTGGCAAATGGAAAGCAGAGATGAGAAAGCTGAATATTGTATTCAAGAAAATGCCCATGCCTGATCCCTTACAAACCAAGGAAAATGGTTCCATCCTACAATTCCAGAAACCAGCATCGTACTTGATGCTCTGCCCTAGGACTGGCTATGTGCCCACCTCCTGCACCTACCCAGCACCTTCCTGCAGGAACACCAAGGCACCCGCAAACTCCTTACCTCCTTCCAGATGTAAGAGTGACTGAGAAAGCAGCCAATCTCTCCTCTGGTTAGTGGCCTGGAAGAGTATGGGTCCCGGGATCCCAGGAGCATACCGATGCTGAGAGCTTTGAGCTGACTCGTGTTAAGTGGTCTGAGAAAAGAGAAAACATCTATCACCATTTAAAAGAAAAGTGAATTCAAGTCAGACACGGACACAACACGGGAAACGCTGCTGATGTTCAAAGAAAACCTCTATCTTGAGAAATGCCTGCACTGGTTTCACTCAAAAACCTCGAGAAAAATTAACTTACTGATTTACATTTCTAAATCAAGCCAACAAATCATAGCCTTAACTCTTCTAACAGCTTCTTGTGCAACCATCAATGTGTCAAGTGCTTGGCTCAGATTGTTTTCCTAAGAGTCCTTGACGGGTGCCAAAGTATTCACGATCTCTAAATGGCATGTGGGTTCCTATCTCCCTGATGCCTTCTGCAACTCCCAGACCAAAAGTTTCTGCTTTGATTTCTCATTATAAAAAGGCTTTGACACACCTTAGAGTAAACTTGGAAAGGGCAATGTCAGGGTTTACAGTGTAACACAACAGCTCTGCAGCACTAGGGTGGACAGCCTTCCCAGGAGATAATTGCTCTCACTTTTACTGCCGACTCCTTTGAACTGTGTGCAAGCGTTACAGTTCATAGAAATCAGCATGATTTTAACCCCATTTTCACCTTAGTCTGAACCACCCTGCCCTGGTTCTCTCATGGAAACTGAAAAATTGCAGAAGAAAGAAGGAGAGCAAAACTGCCCCAAACAGACTGTTAGGTAGATAAAAGTGATACTCACCTCTTCCCCCAGCCCAGCCTTCCCCACCAGAAGGGAGGTCAGGGCTTTCAATGAGATGGTGTTAAGCAGTTTTGGACATCCCGCTCCTTGCAAGCAGCAACCCCAGCCTAAACTCACTTTCCATGCACAGCCTCTACTCTCTTGACTGCAATCTCCTGCTCATAGAGAGTCCGCAGTATCCGATCCTGCCTGTCTTTCCGACAATTCAGATTGATCATGAAAATCTGGATAGAAGAGAAAGCCATCAGCCTCCCAGTTTGGGACTGAGGAAGAAAAGGGAGTCTTCATCCACTCTTCTCCAGCAGCCCCACTGGAAAAGCACATCTTTTGAAAATATTGGGTGTGTTTTCATTCAGGTTACTTAGAATTTGCCAAAAAAATGGAGTTGGTTTTGAGTTGAAAGCTTAGAGGCAAGTTCTCGATCTTAAAACCATTTTTTAGGGATGCTCACAAGGGAAACTTGCTCTTTGAGGGTCAATAAAGGTGAGGGAAGACCAGTCACAGGAAAGTCTGTAACTTACAAAGATACAGGATGCTTTGATTTATATTAAACACAGAGTATCTTGGCCATCTCCAGCCTGAGTCCTAGAGGAACACTGACCCACATATTTCTCCACAATGCTGCCACTGCCTCTATTGAGTGTTACCAGTGGGGCCACCAGTGTTACCAGTGGGGCCACCATTCAAGTACAAGGACACAATAAAGAAAGGATTTTTGTCATTGCTTCAGGCACTGAAAATCCACTGCTATCCCTGCCAGAGCAGAAAGCCTAGCAGAGAGCCAACACTGGGGATAGAGATGTCTGGGCAGGGCTTCACCTAGGCCTTGAGGAGACAGACTCTCTGGTGGAGGGCAGAGAACTTAAGCCCTCATTTGTAGGTACACTGCAGAGGGTCAGCAATATTTTTCAGTCCCCGGCAAGCAAATGCAGCCCGGTAAGGACCAGATCAAATTCCAGCTCAGTACAAATGCAAAAATAATAAATTAGATAAATAAAGTGCAGCCACAAAGGACAACATGGAAAAAAACTACACCAGCTCTGTCCTCAACACAGACACTCAAATGCAGAGAGCCAAATCAGGTTCAGACTTTACAATTCCTATAAACGGATGGAGCAGGATCCACCAGGAAAACAAAGGCTCCCCTGATCAACACAACTCCCTTGGTCACAGTGCCACTGCCACCCTGCAAGAAGCATACACAGAGGTCTGCTGGCTCTGTGAATAACACAAGCACTGGTTAATTAAAGCACAGCAGAGCCCTATCCAGTCTTCCGTTCTCAATGCTTGCCCTCTTCACAACATGAGGCAGAGTTGGGAGAGGAATTTCTGTGGTTTCTTGGGGCACTACCACTGTCAGCAGCTGTCTTTGTAGTTCACTACTACTTAAGGCCATTGCAGAAAAATGTGGCAACCAAGAAGGGCAGAGGGAGGAGCTGCCCCAGTAAAGAGACAGCATGCATGCTTTTAATCACCCCTGACCATACCCAACTTGGGCTAGAATCCAGCCGACAGCCTGTGTCCCACAGCTGCTCCAGAACTCCAGTGTTTCTCTCAGGTGAGAGAAATCACTCCCTTCTGTCACTGGAAAGCAGGAGAGTTTTCCAAAAGACCAGGTTTTGGCACAGAAAGGAAGGACTGCCAAGCTGCTCTGCAGAGTCGGATGTAGAGGAAACACACGAGAACTGGGGAAATAACCTGCTTTTCAGCCCAACTTCTCCATCTCCTCCTGGCTGGATTCAAACATCCATACCCTCAAGACAGGAAGCCCAAAGATTTGCTGGGCACTGCCATTGCACAAAAGTCCACACTTCTAAACATGGCTCTCATAGCAGGTACGAAGTGCTCACAGACCTGACTGGCCTTGTGTCTCTACAGCAAACAGCAGAGGCAAAGTGCACGTCCTGAGCCCTTTCCTTTCTGTTCTCCCAAGCTCAGCATTTCTCCCCACATAACAAATGGCTATTTTCTCCTTAAGACCAAAAGATGAGGGATCAGGAAAGAGCTAACTACATGAAAAGATAATATACTCTGGGGGAAATGGCTAGAACTCACCAGCAGGGAGAACCCAGGTCCTCTAGGTAATGAATGGACGATCGACTGGAAGAGAGATCCCAAGCATCACCTTCACATACATGTTGCATCGATACAAGGTATAGCCAAGTGTTTTCATCACTGGGCTGAAAGCCCCAGGGAGCTGGCATGTGAAGTCAGGCCAGGAGTGGGTACAGCAGAAAGCATCCATGGTGCAAAGCAGAAGCCAGCAGCCATGTGCCAGACAGACATCATGACAAAAAACTGAGTTCTGTAACATCTACTCCACCTGAAAGATGCATATTTGCTTTTTATCTGGGGAAGTTGAGGGATTTTGTGAATGAGGTTCACCTGACTGTGAAGGGATTACATCCCTGGGGAGAAAATGGAAAACCGCATATCAAAACTGCATGAGAACCGTCAGATCAGGATGCAGGTTCCCAAGGGGAAGAAAGCTGGGCTGCTGGCAAGAGAGCTCCACAAACATTAACTGGGGGTACTGGGAGTGAGGGCTGGTGTTTGCAGTGTCCATCATGGCAGGGCACAGCAACTTACTCGTAGCCTCGATTAACATGTGCACAAAGTTCTCAGTTTCTTCTTGCAGTGTCTGCTGTGATTTCAGGGGCATGGGAAGGAAACCGTAGTGTTCACGGTTGCAGATGGACATCTGAATTCCTGGGGATCACACAAAAAAGGAAATTAGAATCAGACCTTTACCAGCAGATTTCACTGCTTTGTTGCTACATCGCCACCATCCATCTTTATGCCAGGACCTCAGTCCCAAGAAGGTCTGCTTCATAAGCAATCTATCAAAAAACACCACAGTGCCATTTTCCTGTTTATTCGGCCAGCAGCAAGTGATCTGTCCTATGAAATCAATTTTTACTTGCTCCCTAACAGCACGTACTTTTACCCTGCAATCAGTTTCCCTCTGGGAGAGACTGGAAACCCTCCTATTAGAACAGATAAAGGTATTTTTTCAGCCTTTACCTTCACACTACAAAACCAAGCATACAGCAGAGGCATAACTGCCCTTTAGCAGAAGCAGTGTCTGATACACAGACACATACAGCAGGACTCCTGCGGGTACCTGGGGAGTACCACAGGAACCCCCATTCCCAAAACTCCACCTGTTCTGTTCAGACCTGGCACCTCACCTGACAATCCCTTCATAAACCCAGAGCCAAAAGCAGCAACAGGTTTTCAGCCTCTGAGTAAGCCAGCCTCAAGTGATGCCATGGGCTTTCACCCGCAGCTGTGATGGAGATGCAGCAGCAATCCTAGGACATGGGGCCTCTCTCCCTGCACACACCCAGGGCTCGGCAATGGCCTCCAAACAGGGGATGGGGGGTGGAATGTGACAGGACAAGTGGGAGCATGAAAGAAAGTTAGTGTTAACATAGTGTTAACATGAAAGAAAGGAAATTTAGGCATTAGGAAGAAGTTCTTCACTATGAGGGTGGTGAGATACTGCCACAGGTTGCCCAGAGAAGCTGTGGCTGCCCCATCCCTGGAAGTGTTTAAGGACAGGCTGGATGGGGCTTTGAGCAACCCGGTGTCCCTGCCTGTGCCAAGGGGGTTGCAACCAAACAGATCTTTAAGGTCCCTTACAACACAAATCAGTCTATGATTCTATAAATGTGGCTTAAAGGTAGGGGAAACACACGGGTTTCAAAGTTCACAGTGAAGGGTGGAGGCATTTTTACTCATGAGTGGGCAGGCAGGATGTGGCATTTCATGACACGGACTCAAGTTAATGCAGACTCAAAGCCTCGTTTATTGTCACAAAGCTTAAGGGCTGGGTTAATAAGAAACAGTCTAAGCTAATAAAAACTAGTAAAACAAACATTCTTAATACAATTCTTTCACTCATAGCAAATAAACTGTTAAAGAACAGTTAACGTTCTGCACTAACAATTGGTTTTGAACTGTATAATGAAAATACAGATACATATCTGTTTCTACAGATCTCAACAAATCAATTTCTTGCACCTGTGTTATTATACCACCCAGCCATCCCACGTGTCCACAGGATTTGAGGTTGCCATTGCTTCCAACAGCAGTCCTCTTAGGTGTGGCAACCAACAGGCACAGGGTGTCTTGTCCATTCGCATTGGCTATAGATGTTCTCTTTTGGCTGAGCGGGAAACCATGGCTGGGTCAGCCCTCTTGTGATGAAGAGACAGAAGACAAGGCAGGACGAGCCCATCGTGCAGGGACCCAACGAAGTCCTTTATCTGTGGAAACACAAGCATACCCTTGTCCCCAGGTTAGTAAAAGGAACGGGCCTTCCCATTCATGAGTTTCAAGATTACGTACTTTAACATGAGCTTTCCCTTGTTCAGAATTCTTAGAACCCCTGAAATGTTGCTGTATAGGAGGTCCATCCTCCGTCCAGTGATTTAAAAAATTCAAAACATAACAAACTTTTGCTATATGTTCTTGTGGGGTTAACCCTGAACTCCCCCTTTTTTGTTTCTGCAACATAGCCTTAAGGGTGCTATGTGTGCATTCAATAATTGCTTGGCCTATGCGAGAATGCGGAATACCTGTAATATGTTGAATTCCCCACTGTTGAAGAAATGCTTGTGTTTTGTGTGCTATATAACCTGGGCCATTATCTGTTTTTATAGTTTTTGGAACTCCCAGGGTAGAAAAAGCTGTAATGAAATGTCGACTATAGCCGGGCCCATCCTCCCGAGGCTTGCTCTTCAACCTTCCCTGTCCTTCAACAGCCCAGCTCATCGCCCCAGGGCTTGTTAAGCACTAAGGCCTCAGAGCTCACTCCCAAACTGTTCACCTTCACTCCCCACAGCAGGACTCACCCCCGAGCAAAGGAAGGCTGCATTTGTTACACACCTGCGAGGGGTGAGGTGGTTCAGATGAAAGGGAAGCAGTCCTCCTGTGGGAGAGGAGGCCCTGCCTTGCACCTGGGCACGGAGGGGTGCAGGTCTAGCAGAGCAGGCAGCCTTAGAGAGGGAAAAGTTCAAACAAACCCAGCGTGCCCAGGGGTGATGGAAGCTTTTGTCTGTGCTTTGCAAGGAGTCTCTATCAGATCGCAGTAAGTATGGAATGACTCTGCCAGGGTGGAGAAGCCAAGTCTGACACCCAGCTCCAACAGCGCACAGTAGGTCAAATGTGGGCCCAAGCACTCAGCTCCCCTGGGACTGATAAGCGGATTGACTCCACAACTCATTAATAGTTGTAATGCAGGTATGCTTTTTATTCAGTGCTGAGATGCACAGGGATAATTCCTCAAAATCATGCGTGCCTCAGTCTTGTTTCCCTCTACATTTATTCTCTAAAGTTATATATATTCATGAGGTTGCATAACATGCCTATACATATTCATATCCTATCCCCGCTTCTTATTATAATGAGATAGAAGGTCCTTTGCGCTTGCACAGTGCCCCCTCTGGTCATGGGCAGGGGTCTCAAGATGAAGTAAATGAGTCTTCCTCCTGTGGGTAGGGGTCGTCAAGATGAAGTAAATGAGTTTTCCTCTTCTTGAACTTTTCACCTTTTAGTCTTCACATATGGCCTTAGGGTTTGGTCGGTGTCCCAGCCATAAACCATCTGCTTCTCCCCCTTATCAGTAGATTCAGGTGTCTGCTTTTCCTT